CCCAGAGAAACCCTGAGCCACTCCTCAAAGAAAAACAGGGTGATTGTGGAGTGGTGGCTGAGGGGGCACCTGGGGTGGGAATTCTGATGGCGCCCACATGAACTTCTTCTGGAGCCACAAGTGGTGTCCCCTCCCCTATTGACAAGAGCAGGAAAGGCACGGGATCCAGAGTGAGACTTGCTCATTGTCACAATTGGCAAACGCACCATGCGCTCCACACATCTCCGTTCTGGGACTCACCTTCCTCCTGGGTCAAAAGAACCAGTACAGATGGTCTCAACGGCCTTTTCCACCTCTGACAACCATTCAGGTGCTAGATAGCAAATAACTCTTGACAAGAAAATGGCTATAAAGCCCCCAAGTATTAAGCAAGCCTGGGTCTTCATTAAGGCAGAGGAACAGACTTACCCAAACCAACAGCCAATGAAATCTAGTGGTCCAGTGACTAGACCCTGCCTGTTCTCAGCACCAGCTCCCCATCCACGTCTCCAGGCATCCTCCTGGCACTGCAGCTTATACCATACCCAGCTAGCCAGTGCCACATTGTCACTACCACATCCCTTCCTTCCTCCCTCTTGAAGGCTTCTGGGAAGTGAGGTCACAGGATGGACAAAATGCCTTCCGTACCCCTCACATGTGGCTGACACCCCAGTCTGAGTCAAGAGGAGCCACAGCACCGGCAAAAGATTCTGCTGCTCACATTCTCACTCAGAATCCTGTGAAGCTCAGGTTGCCGGGAGTATTCAGTGGGCTCCTATCCTGTGCCAGGCTCTGTACAACGCATCACAAGGATAAAAGTAGGGGAGTCCTACGTGCCCTGAAAGGAAAGGCAGGCAAAACCAATAATGTTCACTCAAACATGCTCGTCTACAAATCTTTCCTTCATGGCTTTGCACATGCTGTTTTTCTACCTAGAATACACATCCCTCTCCACCCACCTCTTTTCCTGCCCAGGCTCTAGTCAGAAAGAGCTGGAGAAAAGAACCTCCACCAATGCCCTGTAATCCTGGGCAAGTTTCTTATTGTCAAGGCAAAAGAAGATATTGTCAGCATGGTGGTATGCCTGTAATATCAGCTACTTGGGAGGCCCAGGCAGAAAGATCACAAGTTTGAGGCCAGGCTGGGTAACTTAGCGAGACCCTGTCTCAAAATAGAAAAATAAAAAGGGCTAGAGATACACCACAGTATCCACAGTAGAACCACAGTTCTACCCACAGTACTATTTAAAAAAAAAAAAAAGAAAAGACAGCACTCTGCTTCCCGGTTCAAAATTTGATTACTCATTGTAACATGCTGCTCCTAGCAAGACGTGCTGCTCCTGCCAGTGGTTGACAGGACTCACATAATCTCGAATTTGAACCTCCATAACCTTTCCCTCTCTTTACTTCATTAAAAAGTTCTCTTTCCTTCTTTTTACTCCATAAAAACAACAACAACAACAAGAAAACACAGAAGAAAAAGATATGACCTATGGCTTGGGCGTTTTCTTAGGTAAAGATTATATATAATAATGGCATGCAAAGGGTCTTAGAAAAATGCTGGCCTTAGACAAGTGTGTAATAAATAACTGCTTGGATGAAGGTCTTTGATAAGAGATTAGCCCTCTGTGAGTGTCCCCTTCTGTGAATTTCTACAATATAAAACAGCTGAACCACTCCTTTAGCCCTTTTCAGACATGGGCTTCCGACGGTTGCTAATTCTCCTACTGTGTGTTCACTGCTCTAACTGCAATGTAAACAATGATCTATGACTCAAAAAATATTTGCTGAATGATTAGTCAGTGAACAGTAATGAAGCTCTCAAATGGATACAATAAATTTCCTAAACGTATCATGAGACAATAGCAGCTGCCCTCCAACAGAAAGAAGGAAGCAAGTCTTCCAGAAACAAATGCTCTACCCTAGGGCAGCAACCGCCTCCGAGAATCTATCACCCAGGTCACTGAAGAAATGAGCCCTGTCTAGTCAGATTAAAAGCCTGAAGCCAGCTAGGCAGGATTGTAACCACCACCCCACGCCTCAGCCGCCCCATGACCTTTCATACTCTCTCTGTTCCTGCCCCCAAATACTTGTATCATCAGGACAGGGCATGTGCCACACTGGCATAGCACAGGGGTATGAAAGCAGCCCACAGCCACTTTTTAAAGGAACCTCAGCACACAGATGTAAGGTGACATCAATCCCACCTTTTCAGCCAGGGCGCACCCCCTCCGATAGGAGTCAAGGATAATCCTCATCATTACAGGCCAACTCCAGATTTTGCCAGAACCCTCCCACTACATGATCTTGTTTACAGGTCTGTCTCATCCCTGTGTCTAGCTAATAGGAGACCCTCGTTTCCACAGAAATCTCCCACCTCCTATTTACCCTAGCTTACCTTCACAAACTTTTTTTTTTTTTTTTTTTAAAGACAGGGTCTTGCCAAGTAACTCAGGCTGGCCTTGAACTCAAGATGGCCTTGAACTCATGGTGATCCTCCTGCCTCAGCCTCCTGAGTGGTGGGATTATAGGCATATACCACCACACCAGGCTTCACCTTCATAAACTTTGATGTTCCCATTTTCCTTTGAGAGATTATATTTTGCTTTTGTTTTTCTTTTTAAGATCATCAACCTCCACACCAGGAAAAGACCCTTTTTGGAAATGACAACACTCATCCAGGAACAGGTTGGATCAGTATATGCATATGTAATTCATAGAAAAATTCTGTGTTGCAAGAAGCCAAACGTGAGTCAGCTGGAAGTTAGTTTTTCTGTACTCTTTTAAGACAGAAAATCTTCTAGAATGAGTCTGTCTGCAAGCATTGAAGATCTCTTATAGTCTCAAAGTGGAAACCAATTGGGGGACTTTTATGATATTCAGGCCTGCCATGTCCCCTGAGATTACCTCTCTTTAGTGTTCTAGTTCCATGGTCCTCATTCCCCCTCCCTTCTCCCAACTTTATGGGTTCACATCACGAAAATAGTGTGAAAGGCTGCTCACAGATGCTCATGCAGGTGACAAGACCAGAGAGGCATACCGGCAAGTGTAAATCAAAGGTAAAAGAGTTTAGAAATTTTGTTTAAAAATTATTTTCCAGGGCCATATGGCTAAAAGACATACATACACATCGTTTAATCTAGCCACTTCTGTAATCCATCAGCTAGCTTCTTCCGGGGGAAAGGGAGGCTGAGTATGAAAACTAACATCTCTACATGCGTTCATTCTACTATAATTTATCAAGAAATACCAACAGCACAGATGAGGAACAATGGCTGTAGTTCTCCTTTCTCTCGAAAGTCTCTTCCCTAAGGTGTCCTCAGTTCTCATTCAGTGACCATTTCGGGTCAAGATTCATCTCTGCTAGGGCCCTAGCACCATCATCAGGAAGTGGCTCTATTCAGGGACAGCAAATCAGAAATAAATCACCAGCACTGTGCCACGCCCTCCCTAATACCCACTGCCTGGGTTAGGCAGATACGTGACACTACACGGATCTTTAAATTGTAGAAATATGGCTATGAGAAAATATAGGTCTGATATACAGAGCTCAGTAAATATTAATTACCATTATCACCATATTTCTTCAACTCTTAAGTTTTCAGCTTTTAAACACTTTAACACTTCTGTGCTAGAACACACCTTAAAAATCTGCATACATTTAATGGTTTTCTTAGCCCGCTATCCCGCTGGCTGTTTATGAAATGAGTGGTGGGTCGCACAATTAATGGTGTCCTGGAATCAAAGAAATGTGGTCCTAGGCCAGTGAATGGAACAAGAAACAAAGGAAAACCATAAAGCTGCCTGCGGTCAGGTCTCTAACCCTTAACCTAAGGGTCTGAAAGGGCCCAGGCCAAGGGGAAGAGAGATAAGGACGTGGCCATGACTAAGGAGCCGGGGCAGCGGCTCAGCGGGGGCCTGGATGGGAGACAGGAAAACTGGCCGGAGAAGGCACCCACCTCCAGATCCGAGTTAGGAAATCTATTGGGAGCTGTGTCAACTAGCCAAAGCGGGGGAGAAGGGGGTTCAGGGCGGCAGTGTCAGTTCCCTCTGCTCCCCAGCACTGATCCACAGCACTCAGGGAGCTTGGATCACGACACGGGTTCCTGGGCGAGAGGAAGGGACTGTTACAGGCAGGACTGGAGAAAGCCTTAAGGTGTCAGAGAGCCGGAGGGGGCAAAAAGGCAACTTGCTTAGGGCAGCAACGTGGCAGCGGATGAACGGAGCGGGCAGAGGTCTGGGGGCGCAGGCCCCGGGAAGCGATGTGAGCCAAGAGGAAAAGCAAAACAGACCAGAGGGGTGCGACGGTGGGGACGCGCGCCGGGTGGAAGGGACGCGGAGGCGGGAAGGGCGCCCGGGCAGGTGGAGGGGTCCGCCCGCTTCTCACCCTTGACATCGTTGGCCAGCGCCTTCCATGTCGGGGCGAAGGCGATGCAGTGGCCGCACCAGGAAGCGAAGAACTCCACGGCCCAGGCGCTGCGGGAGTTGAGCACGGCACCGCGCACCGTGTCCGCCTGCAGCAGCCTCACGGGGTCGGAGGACGAGTACAGCGCCCCGAGCCAGGCCGCGCCAGCGCCG